CGCTCGCCCAGCCCCTCATACACTTGCACATAGTCATCGTAACCCAGCCGTAGCTCCAGCTGCAGTAACACACGGCGAGTGTCCTGGGTGTCCACCAGCCATGTGCAGTGAAGGTCCGAAGGCCCGCGGGCAGCGCCGAACAGGTCTGGGGAGGCGAAGGAACCATAGAAGCTGCCCAGCCTCCGGCCACATGCTAGGTCGGGGCAGCCAGCCTCGTCAGACCCATCGCCACAGTCCTGGGTCCCGTCACAGCGCCTCTCAACCGGCAGGCAGCGTGTGGAGCGAGCTCCACTGCACGGGAAGGTGCCCCCCGGGCACAAGCTGCCTGGTGGCTCCGAGGCAGGGGCTGAACAGTTACCCTCATCCGAGCCGTCTCCACACTCATCCACCGCGTTGCACTGCCAAGGACCAGGCAGGCACTTGCCGTTGTCACAACGGAACTCATCTGTCTGACAGGATGCCTGGCCCAGCTTTCCTGGAGGCAAAGAGGGGCCGGGATGAGCCTTCTTCCAGCACCAGGCCTGAGGCTGGGAGCAGGCAAATGGGTTCAGTCTCCATTGGGCCTTTGTACAAAGAGGCAGGGCCACCTCTGGGCACAGACAGACTCGTGGAGGGAAGGCTAGGCTGAGGGCAGGTTCACATCCTGCAAATTGGAGTCAGTTACCAAAAGAGATGCTGAAAGACATCAGCCCCACCCCTGCCCTGGGATTAGCTGGGCTGGTAAGGGGAGCCCCTGCAGAAAACTGGGGGTAGTGGAATAGCTTGCTGCATCACCTCGGATATAGGAGAGGCGGAAGCCCTGGGCCTGGCCGGAGCTGGAGGCGTCTGAGTGAAAGAAGATCCAGACATGGTCACGGGCCGAGATGAAGGCGGGCGGGATGGCTGAGCCACAGAGGCGAAAAGCCACCTGGGGAGGTGGAGCTGCCGGGCCCAGCAGCAGCCAGTCCAGGGAGCACTGGTGAGACTCCTCCACGTCAAAGTTTCGGAAACTGTGGGGCCGAGAGAATCACAGGGATGGGTGGGTGGACGGGGCCTCATGGCCCCAGGCTGGCCAGCAGTCATCAAGCTGGAGCTCATGGCAAATGCAACTAGAAAGTTCAGTGTCTCCCCTCCCCCCCCCAGTGGCCCTCCTGTGTCTCCCAAATTGCCTAGCTCTGCACTCTGGGCCCCTCAGGGTCCACACTGCCCCCACCCCAGGATCCAAAGGCAGCTCCATGAGGCATCACCACCTCCATGGCTCACAGCCATTGGTCCAGCTCCCTTCCGGCTCTGTGGCACGAGCATATACACAAGCATCCCCAGCCCAAAACTGAGTGTGGAGTGCCAGCTGCCCTCTGACACTTTCCACTGGCGGCTGTGGTGGTGACCAAGAGCTCAGACTGCTCTCTTCCTGAGTCAACAGGACAGCATAAACTCCCAGGATTGCACACTCAAGGTGGGGCTCTGCCCGTGAGGCCACCCGACACTGCCACTGGGTGACTAAGCACAGCCAGACTACCAGCCTCCCCAGTTCCTAA